CTTGGACTTCGAGGTCTGAGGGAGAAGGATGCTAAGAGCTCAAAGCTCTGGGTTTAGAAGAGAACTGGGGATTCTCACCATGGCCCCGAATACCATCTGGAGTAGTCTCTCCAGCTTCAGCTCCGAGGTGCCCTCCTCAGATGACAGAACAATGAGGGTGATGCTGTGGGAACCGAAGATGAGAAGGAAAAATGAGTCCAGGCCTGGGAAACAGGACAATAGGTAGAGTCTGATCCTTGATCCTAGAATATTAGTTACATCCTCCCTCAGCCAGTCAGATATCCAAGAGTAACTAGATTGTCAAAGATCCCACAGCCAGAGGAACAGCCGCAAGGCCTCTGGGGTCTTCTTCAACATGGGCTGCCATCACCCAGGCCCGTACCCACCCCAAGCTCCCTCCTAAGACCTGTCATGGAAGCTTTTCCACACCACGGTTGTGTCCTTGGTCCTTGCAGAGCTCAGCTGTACCTCCAAATTCTGCCCGAACATATGAACTCCATTGAGGGAGCCAATGACAGAGAACGGGAGCTGGGGAGGAGTTGGAGGCATTAGACAAGAGCACCCCAAGACTCCTCCTAGATACCCAAGTGTCTGTGCTCCAGAGCCCCTCCCTTTCCATATCTCCCTCTTCCAGGAGCCAGGCTTATTGTCCCCCTTGGATATCTGAACTCAGACCGGAAGTTTCCCCAAACCCTTCTCCCTTGAAGATTTGGAGTCTAACACACCCTCACCCCCTTCTATTTAAATCCCACCTGCTGACGGGAGGGGGCGCCGCCGCGGCTGCTCCTGCAGAACAGGGGGACCCCGCTGGAGGCCGCGAGGCACAGCAGATGCACGGAGCCGCCGGTCCCCTCCTCTCCCATTTGGACACACCCCGCGCCGCGGCTTGGCGCGCGATCACCCCCTGGGGCCCCCAGTGCTGGTCTGGGAGCTTGGTGGTAATCACACTAAGTCGGCCTGCCGTCCGGAGCCGCCAGAGGGCGAGATGGGAAGCTAATCAGTAGACGACTGAATTCCCGCCTTCCATCCAACTCAGCTCCTCTTCCGCCCCAGCCGGAAGTCACATTACCCCCAACAAAGATGACGGCTAATTGTACGGCAAAGTTTTGTACTTTCCTCCTGACGCGGTTGTTCACTTATGTAACGAGAAGAATGAAGTGGATTTCGTGAAGATGGTGATAGTGCCAAAGTGTTGCCTAGCAACTATCCTACGGGCTCTAATAACTTATATTCTAATTAAAACAAAACTTGCCCCGATCAAAGATGGCGACGGTGGTAAGGTGTTGCCTAGCAACCACATTCCCTCTGGATTTCCATTTCGTGGTGATAAACATTGTGCCCCACTTAAAGATGGCGACCGTGCAAGCTGTTGCCTAGTAACCACAATTCACTCTAATTTCCATTGTGAAAGGAAAAACAGCCGAGCCCGGCTCAAAGATGGCTGCTTGTCCAAGTCCCAGCACCCTCCTTCGGGCAATGTCGAAAAAAACCCCCACACACTTTTGAAAGTGGTTTGGTCCGGGAAGCGTTGCCTAGTAACCACCAAAGGAGATAGTTGTTTTTGTTAATAGAAAAAGGGAATTCTTTATTCTCCCGAATCATCAAAATTACATTACTTTCATAACACGTTTATATATGACAGGGTACAATGTAAAATAAGAAAATACTACTTCCCAAATTCTTTCTCTAAAATAAACAACAAAAAATGTACAGAATGCATACATGTTTCCACAAATGTGATCATTATACCAACATTTTCATGCCTTTTCTCTTCAAAAATTATGTGTGCTTCATGTTTTTTGTCTTAAAATCAATTTTATGGATGTAAAAAATTGATTTGAACAATCCTCTATTGACACA